CCCCAAAACCCCAAAACCCCAAAACCCCTTATCAAAATATTCTATTTTTAATAGATAATTTATAAATGTCCTCAGATAAGCCCAAGCTCTTCTATCTCACCTCATGAGCTTTGATCTGTGCACTCTCACTTTTCAATGCTGGTTATTGCTATGGGTACTTCAATAACCTGACTGGAATAATGCATAAGCAATATGTTTATAGAGGTGAGCTTTCCTTCATTTCTGATGATCAATATTTCAGGTTCAAAATTGCCAATTTGAAATAAAAATTTGGAATAATATCTAAAAAAAAATAAGAGTGTTTACAGAGTTTCAAGATCTTACTACGGTTTATAGATAAGCAAAGAATCTCAGATGAAGATCTCTTCAATTCATTAGTATCCGGACTAATGATAGTCGGAGCAATTCCAGGGTCATTGATAGCTACGCCAATGATGAAGAAAGGAAGAAGGATCACCTTGATTATTTCTAGTCTAATCCATACATTAGGAGCATGTCTTTGATTAATCTTTAATATGTGGGCTCTTCTTATAGGAAGATTTATAATGGGCATAGCCATTGGAATTTACTTTTCTGTATGTCCCCTCTATATTTCAGAAATGAGTCCTCCTTCAGTCTCAGGCCCTCTGGGAACTCTGAATCAGATGAGTCTTGTCACAGGACTCTTCCTGGCCTATGCATTTGGGTATATTCTTCCCTTATCAGAGGACTCAGATGCTGCGACTACTGGTTTATGGAGAGTTGTCTCCTTCCCTCCAATAGTTTTTGGGCTTATTCAATTCCTTTTCTTAACAATGATCTTCAGATATGACACCCCTAGATTCTACAAGAATAAAGGAGATATCAAAAACTATCATAAAATCATGAACTTGATATTTTATGATGCTCCAACTCAAGAGGATAAAGCTCTTGATTCTGAACATGGCCATGCACAGAAGAAAAATATCCAAGAGAATGAAAACCAAATTGATAAAAATTCTGGGGATGAAAAGTCGCTACAAGAACAACCTGACAAAGAACAAGAGGTTGTTGAAGAATCTAAAGCAGAGATTTGACCTCCAGGTGTGAAAGATGAGCGAGTTGATGATACTACAAAGCAAGCGAAAGACCAGAAAATTGAGGGAGATAAAAATGAAAGCATTGAAGTTAAAACACAAAATAAGCAATGGACATCTTACTACAAAAAAGCATTGCTTTATTGCTCCCTCCTCAGCTTCTTCCAACAGGCTTCAGGTGTCAATGGAGTCACTTTCTTCTCAAATGAGATTTTTAAGGATGGGGATGAAGGCAATGCAGCTGAAAGAAGAGCTCGGCTAGGAACACTCCTGATTGGGGTTGCTGCCTTTACAGGCACAAACTCTTCCATTTGGCTTTATAAGTATTTTTCAAGGAAATTCTTCTTCCTTACAAGTGAGATAATAATTTTGGTGTGTCTTTCTTTGTGTGGCATATGTGCATTGGTAGACTTTGACGTAGGAGTCATAGTGCTAACCATGATCTATATATATGCATTTAACTGAGGAATTGGCCCTACTCTGTGGATCTACAGCTCTGACGTCCTGGATAGTTCTGGCACATCACTAATTGCTTTAATTAATATGGTGATGACAGTAATCTTTGCAGGAACTACAAACCTCATGTTTGAATACTTCACAGCTCCAGGAGTGTACTTCGGCCTTTCAGTGATTCAAATATTTTGTATCCTGTTCATTTGGAAGTTCATTAGAGAGACAAAGGGAAAGAGTAGAGAGGAATGTGAAAGACTTTATCAAGATTAGGAATATAATTTTTTAAGGTACTAGTATATCTAACTGCAGCTTCTATCATCTTTTAGCATTAGAGGGGTTTTGGGGTTTTGGGGTTTTGGGG